AAAAAAGTGTAATTTTTTTTTTTTTTTTTTTTTTTTTTTTTTTTTTTGCTGTTGTTACTAGCTTTAAGAAAAATATTGTACCTTAAGATTTTTGCAACTCTTCATCAGGTATTTCACATCATAAATGGATGGGAAGAAAAGGTTCAGAATATGAAAGAATTCATGTTCCTCTTCTGGCAAACGAGAGTCAGTAAGTAACTTTACCATGTAGCCAAAGTCATAGCCACTGCAAGGAGAAGAGGAGGCACTAAGTGAAAAAGCAGCAGTTATTAGGCCCCCGCATTCAACAACTTTACTTCTCAAAATTCATGATGCTACCACCTTTCAGTATTCCAAAGTAGTTTACCCTACTGTGATCTGAACATTCCATTAAAAAACAACACAGCTGAAACCGGTTTGGCTCAGTGGATAGAGCGTCGGCCTGCGGACTGAAGGGTCCCAGGTTCGATTCCAGTCAGGGGCATGTACCTGGGTTGCGGGCACATCCCCAGTGGGAGATGTGCAGGAGGCAGCTGACCGATGTTTCTAACTCTCTATCTCTCTCCCTTCCTCTCTGTAAAAAATCAATAAAATATATTAAAAAAAAAAAGAAGAAGAACACACACAAACTAATATGGAAGAAAACTCAAAGGTTTATAAATGTGTATTTTATTCATCAAAAATTCAGAAGTACTGGCCGTGGCTGGGTAACTAAGTTGGTTAGATCATCATCCCAATTCATCAAGATTGCTAGTTCCATCCCCAATTCAGGGCACATACAAGAATCAACCGATAGACCTGGCCAGTATGGTTCAGTTGCCTGGGCATCATCCCGTGCACCAAAAGGTTGCTGGTTCAATCCTGGTCAGGGCACATGCTTCGGTTGGGGGCTCAACCCAGTAGGGGGCATGCTGGAGGCAACCAATCAATAATTCTCTCTCATCATTGATGTTTCTGTCTCCCCTTCTCCCTTCCTCTCTGAAATCAATAAAAATATATTTTAAAAATAGTAAGAATAAACAACCAAGTGCTTCGATCCTCTCCACCCACCACTTTCCACTTGGAATACACCCACTGGCAGCTACATGATAAAGCCCATTACTGTGTAACACAAACCAATATGAGCTCCAAATTGTTTTTTGAAAAACAAACATGAGTAATAGTTACCATTTCAACTTCATAACTGCTAGTGACCAACAGAAGAGAGCGTAAGAATTCAATTCCCTGCTCCCAAACCGAGAGCTACACATTCTCTGGGGCTGACCTGTGAAATGAAAGCCATTTGACATTGTCACAGAGAACCACCCCTGATGTCATAAGCAGCTCCGCAAAGTGCAGTGTGTCAATCCCTTCCTCTTCGTGCTTCTGAAACTGTAGTCCTGAGTTTGCAAGGAGATCTATGGAATCCTGAGAGTACATGTCCTCTCTAAAAAAGAAGGTGTTCACGTCTTAGTTGATGGATAATGTAACAAAAGTACTAATGGGTAACAGCATATCATACAACAAGTTTTCTTTAAATCTTTCATTATTTAAGAATACAATTCCTTCTTTCCAGTATTCCAGCAAGCATAAAAAGATGATCTTATCTCTAACAGATACAAAATGTGATTTTTCCCATAAAATGTCCTAATTATAAAATATCCACATTTTCCAATTTTAAAAAGAAAAATCTCAAATAGAAGAAAATGGAAAAAATTTATATATGTACATATAGACCCTAACATGCAAATAGACCAAAGGGCGGAACAACCGAACAACTGGTTGCTACGACGTGCACTGATCACTAGGGGGTGCGCGTGGAACATGGCGGGCGTCAGCAGCAGGCAACAGAGTGCAGAACATGGCGGGCATTGGCTGCAGCAGGATGGTGGAGCAGGTGAGCGGGGACACTAGACCAGGGTGCCAGTCACTGTCATCGGGGTGAGCCTCTGGTGGTTACCGAAAATACTTTGCTCCTGTGTGCCGCAGTCCCGCTAGGCGCTCACACCCGCTGCCAGCACCCAGCGCCGGCCCCGATTGCGCCTGAGGGCTTCTCTACCTCCCCCTGCTCCTGAGGGATGATCGGGGCAGCAGATGATGCTCTCACACACTGACGGTGCTGACCCCGCTTGCACCTGCTGCTGGCGCCGGCCCCAATCGCTCCACGCCGCCAGGAGGTGCGAGCGGGTCCAGTGCTGTCAGCATATGGGAACGGTGGCGGGAGCGGGGCTGCCGGCAGACAGGGGACCAGGGGCTATGGTGGGAGGGGCCAGGCAGGGGCACAGAGGATGGGCCGAGACCTGCCCCTGTGCCCACCTCAGCCTCGTGGCCCACAATTCCTTTCAAGGTGCACAAATTCGTGCACTGGGCCCCTAGTACTCTTATAATGTTCCCCCATGGAAATAATAACTATTAACAACTCGGTTTATATATCCTTGCAGACTATTTTCTCTGCCTACAAATACACGCCTCCATCCCTTCACCTTTATAACACAGTTCATCTTTCTAGATCAATACTCAGACATATCACAGTCTTTGTAACGCTGGCATAATATTTCACTGTAAAGATATATCCCTTAAACACAAAAATATTTAGAATAACCCCAAAGGAGGGAAATAACTCATTTTCCATCATATTTCACTGTTTTCCTTTCTTTTGTTTTTCACATAAATTTAGGTGATATAACTGGCAAGAAAACCACCACAATTTTAATTTTTTTCACTAAATTAAAACTGGTGTTGAATTACAATCTTTTGCTCTACCTTATGTAAACATTTTAAATACAAATCCTGCAATAAAGTTATTATATTATTTTGCATATTATATTATCATTATGTTACAAATAACAGGCTTTGGCAATGGACTAGAAAAATGCAGTTAAAGGAACAATCCAGATTATCTCCTAAAATAATTCTTTGAAAGTCAAAACACATGGATAACAATAAAAAAATGATTCCTGAGCCATCAAATGCTCTTGGTGCCTAGTTAAACAAAGCAGTGTTATAGCCTAGCCATGGCCAGTGTGGCTCAGCTGGTTGGAGCATCATCCCATACACTGAAAGGTGATGGAATCAATTACTGGTGCAGGTGCAATCCCAGGGATTGTGTATGGGAGGCAGCCAATCAATGTTTCTCTCACATAGATGTTTCTCTTTCTCTTCTTCCCCCTTCCTCTCTCTAAAATCAATGGAAAATATATCCTCGGGTGAGGATTAAAAAAAAGAGCTGGGCTGCCCAGCCCGTGTTGCTCAGTAATTGAGCATTGACCTAGGAACCAAGAGGTGGCCTGTTCGATTCCCAGTTCGATTCCCTGCACATGCCCAGGTTGCAGGCTCAATCCCCAGGAGGGGGGTGTAGGAGGCAGCCGATTGATGTTGTTCCCTTCTCATTGATGTTTCTATCTCTCTACCCCTCTCCCTTCCTCTCTCTCTAAAAATCAATAAAAACATTTTAAAAATTAAAATTACTGGGGCCTAATAAGAAATACAGAAACACTACCTCAAACAATCAGCAAAACGATAGTGTCCCCTCAATATGCCCCTTAAAATTTACATCACCCTCAAAAACTGAAAAAGACAATTACCATATGATCCAGCAATCCCATTTCTGGGCATATATCAAAAAGAATTGCAAACAGGGTCTTGAAGAGACATTTGCACATCTATCTTTACAGCAGTACTATTTACAATTGTCAAGAGGTGAAAACAACCCAAATGTCCATCAACAGATGAATGGCTAAACAAAATGTGGCATATACTAGTACATACAATGCAATATTATTCAGTTTTAGGAAAGAAATCCTGCCACATGCTACAACATGGATGAACCTTGATGACTCTATACTAAGTGAAATAAGCCACTCATAAAACAACTAGAGGCCCGGTGCACGAAATTCGTGCACATGAGGGGGGGGTGTCCCTCAGCCCAGCCTGCACCCTCTCCGATCTGGGACCCCTTGAGAAATGTCCAACAGCCCGTTTAGGCCTGATCCCGGTGGGACATCCCTCTCACAATCCAGGACTGCTGGCTCCCAACCGCTCGCATGCATGCCTGCCTGATTGCCCATAACCGCTTCTGCCTGGCAGCCTGACCACCTCCTAACCACTCCCCTGCCAGTCTGATCGACGCCTAACTGCTCCCCTGCCAGCCCGATTGCCCCTAACTGCCCTCCCTTGCTGGCCTGGTCACCCCCAACTGCCCTCTCCTGCAGGCCTGGTCGCTCCCAACTGCCCTTCCCTGCTGGCCCGGTCACCCCTAACTGCCCTCCCCTGCAGGCCTGGGTCCCCCCCAACTGTCCTCTCTTGCAAGCCTGGTCACCCCAACTTCCCTCCTCTGCTGGCCCGGTCAGCCCTAACTGCCCTCTCCTGCAGACCTGATTGCCAACTGCCCTCCCTTGCAGGCCTGGTCCCTCCCAACTGCCCTCCCCTGCTGGCCATCTTGTGTCCACATGGGGGTGGCTATCTTGTGTGTTGGAGTGATGGTCAATTTGCATTATTACCTCTTTATAAGATAGGATAGATACTATAGGCTCCCACTTAAACAGAAAGTAGAATGGTGGTTAACAAGAGCTAGGGGAACGAAAAAAGGGAATTGTTATTTAATAGGTATACAGTTTCAGGCTTGCAAAATGAAAGTTCTGGAGGTCTGTTTCACAACAGTGCAAAGACAGTAAATTTTATTTTTTACCACATTTTTTAAGTTACATCAAAATTTTCCCATTACCAAATAGCCTTGTTTCAACTACCTTTGATTAGCACCCACTCCATGTCTTATTTTTATTATGAAAAATACTAATAACCCTCTTTTACAGATAAGGAAACTGAATTACAAAAGGGAAAATAACTGACCCAACGTCAACCAGTAAAGAAATGGCAGAAATTCAAATACTGATCTCTTAACTGGGAAACTGACTTGACTTTAAATAGCTTTATTGAGATACTAGAGGCCGGTGCATGGGATTCATGCACTGGTGGGGTCCCTTGGCCCAGCCTGCAGGAATTGGCTGAAACCAGCAGTCCAACATCCCCTGAGGGGTTCCGGAGTGGGAGAGGGCACTCTACAAAGTTGCTGATGCTCGGCAGCTCCTGCGTTGAGCATCTGCCCCCTGGTGGCCAGTGCGCGTCATAGCTACTGGTCAGTTGGCTGGTCAGCCGGTCGCTTAGACTTTTGTATATATAGATATTTTGCATACCACAAAATTTCACCTATTTAAAGTATACAATTCAGTTGGGTTTGGTGTGTTTCAGAGTCGACCAACCATTCTGAAATCTAACTTAGAGCATTTTTATCACATCTAAAAAAAGCTTCCTACTTACTCATTTCTCTTCTCCATTCCAACTGTAGGTAAATATGAATCCACTTTTTATTGCTATAGATTTGCTTGTTCTGGAAATGTCATATAAATGGAGTCTTACAATATGTGGTCTTTTGTGTGAAACGTGCTTCACTGAGCATAATGTTTTCAAGGATAACCCATGTTGTAGCATGTTCTAGTACAGGTACTTAATTCCTTTTTATGGCTGCATAATATTCTCTTGTATGGATATTTTGCTTATGCATTTATCAGTTGATCAACACTTAGATTGTTTCCACTTTTTTATGAATAATGCTGCTGTAAACAATCATATACAAGTTTTTGTGTGGACATATACTTTCGATTCTTTTGAGTGCATACCTAGTAAAGGGTTGTCAGCATTTTGGAAAACCCTAACTTAACTCTGGTGCCGTGTCACATATAGAAATTTTTTGATATTTGCAACCATAGTAAAACAAAGACTTATATTTTTGATATTTATTTTATATATTTAAATGCCATTTAACAAAGAAAAATCAACCAAAAAAATGAGTTCGCGTGTCACCTCTGACACACGTGTCATAGGTTCGCCATCACTGCCCTAGACCCTCTCGCAGTCCCAGAGCCCTCGGGGGATGTCCGACTGCTGCAGAAGTGGGAGAGGCTCCTGCCTCTGCTGCTATGCTCGCCAGCCATGAGCCAGGCTTCTGGCTGATTGGAGCTCCCCCTGTGGGAGCGCACTGACTACCAGGGGCAGCTCCTGCGTTAAGCATCTGCCCCCTGGTGGTCAGTGAGTGTCATAGCGCCCAGTGTTCCATTGTTCAGTCAATTTGCATATTAACCTTTTATTATATAGGATAATTCCCATACTACACAATTCACTCATTTAAAGGACACAATTCAATAGTTTTTTCGCAAAGCACTGATTTGCAATCATCACCACCAATTATAAACCATTTCATCACCTCAAAAAGAAACCCTGTCTCATTAAGCAATCACTCCCCATTATCCCATAATCTCCCCATTCCCTGCTCTAGAACCACTAGTTTATTCTAGATGTGCCTATCTTGGACATCTCAAATAAACAGAATCATATATGTGGGCTTTTGTGCCTGGCTCCTTCCCCTAAGCATGCTTTCAAAGTTCATCCATGTATAGTATATATCTGTACTTTATTCCTTTTTACTGCTCCATAACATTCAATTCCATGGATATACTGTTTAATTTATCCATTTGTCAGTTCACAGATATTTGGATTGCTTCAACTTTTGGGCCTTCATGAATAATGCTGCTATAAACATTCACTACAAGGTTTTGCATGGATATGTTTTCTAATCTCCTGGACATATGCCTATGAGTAGAATTGCTGGGTCATATAGTAACTCTCTGTTTAACCTTTTGAGAAACAGCCTTTCTAATTGGACTGTTTTCCAAAGAGGCTATGCCATTTTACATTTCCCCTAACAATGTATGAATATTCTAATTTCTCCACATCCTCCCCAACATTTAGGTCTTTTTATTATAGCCATCTAGGGGTATAAAGTGGTATCTCACTGTGGTTTTGATTTGCATTTCTCTAATGACACGATTATGAGCAACTTGTCATGGGCTTATTAACCACCAGAGGTCCGGTGCACAAAATTTGTGCATGGGTAGGGTCCCTAGGCCTGGCCAGCGATCAGGGCCAATCAGAGCCTTCCAGCTGTTGGCCGGGGCCTTTCTTCATTCCCCGCCACCCCTTGGTGGTCAGCATATGTCATAGCAAGCGATCGAACTCCCGGTCAAACTCCCAAAGGGACACTTTACATTTAGCCTTTTATATATATAGAAGATAGATACACTTTACATATTAGCCTTTTATATATATAGAAGATAGACAGGTTTGTATATCTTCATTGGAGAAATGTCTATTCAGATATTTTGCCCATTTCTAATTGGACTATTTGTCTTTTTATTGTTGACTTGTGAGAGTTTTAAGGGGGACTTTACTTTGAGATTATTTATTTCATCCTCTGCTTGACTGCTCTGTCCAACCCTTACCTGGGTTTGGTGGAAATAAAACTTAAAATTAATAAATTCAATTAGAGCCCTAGCTGGTTTGGCTCAGTGGATAGAGCGTCAGCCTGCAGACTGAAAGGTCCCTGGTTCGATTCCCAGTCAAGGCCACATGCCTAGGTTGTGGGCTTGATCCCCAGTAGGCGGCTTGCAGGAGGCAGCCGGTCAATGATTCTCTCTCATCATTGATGTTTCTATCGTTCTCTCCCTCTCCCTTCCTCTCTGTAATCAATAAAAAAATATATTTTTTAATAAAAAATAAATTCAATTAGAAATTACAATCTGCACAAATGTTGCAGATCTAAGAAGTATCTCAGACACTTACGTAAGATTGAATTTGAAGTTGAACTGCCAAGTGTTGATTCCAGAAGGGTATTCTCCCTTCTCATTCGTGAATGTAAGGCCCAGCTGGATAATTTTTAAAAGGTCAACATTGCACCGCAAAAGCTGATACTGGTAATCTATGGAACTACGAAATTCACCAATTGGTCGCACCACAACACCTGGAAATTCTGTGTCCTAGAAAAAAAAACACATAAGGTTTCACAAAATAGTGGATGCTGAATTGATCATTCATAAACAATATTTTTACCTCAATTTATAAAAGTTATGTGACAAGCCCCAAGATGGAGCAACAAAAAAATCTATCTTAAAATACTGATCTTGTTGACATCTACAGAAGCACGAAAATCACAAAGCTTTACACAACAACTTGGAGATACTAGCAGGACATTAATAGAAGTAGGTGATAAACTATAGGTAGATACATAGGCAATTAAGAACATTCTAAGTTCAGAACAATATAGAAATAAAAATATAGAAATAGATAAGTGAAAATGCCAATCAGAAAAAAAGGAGTAAAGCAAAACTGGGTATGAAAATGGTTAGGAGTTGCGGGAGCTTCCATGCCTCCTCTAAAAGAGGCCCTGGATATCACCATGATACACACATGTCCCTCGTCAGCCACTCAATGTCAGGCAGGAATGTGGCCCCTATACTGCCAGATCTTTCCAATTTTTCTAGAGATGGCAAAAATCTGGAATTTAAGTAGGTCCCTTGATTTTTAAATGCTGACAATTTTTTTAAATTGTTTTAAATACTATACAAATGTACCATATCTGTGAGACAGATATGCCCTATGGCTTTAAAGACTTTCAAACACAAAGTAACATTACAAAACATCAAGACATTAGAGGTTACATCCTTCTCAGACACATTGGCTACCCTTGCTGTTTCATAAAAGCAATATAAACTTCTATCATGTTTAATATGCCACCACTTCAGTGTGATCAATTATTTCAAAATCTCTAATTAAATACTCCCTAAATCCATACCAGAGTTGAGTCAAAAAGAGTAGAGTAGAGCTCTTTACCATGGCAATATAACTGTAACTGAGCACAATTTCTCGAATCTTCCTCATCTCTTCTTCTAGATTGCTGGCCCAGACTTCACAGATAACCTGGCTATTCTCCACAAGTGCTGCGGGCATCCTGAAGAAACTTGAGAAGTCACTTTCAGCTGACTATGACAGAGGGCAAGCCAATGGTTGATCTGACCTAAATTCAAAAACACATTGTGCAATCACATAAATTTACACAATGGCTTAAGATGTCAATAAAACAAAGGCATCAAAACAATAATTTATCATCACTTACCAGTTTAAGCTAAAACATTGAGACTGTCATATTATTTACTACACACACACACACACACACACACACGTATTTCTTTAACCTAAAGAAACTAAAATTAAGAAACCTGAAGAAACTTTTGCCCACGCTTCCTTTAAATAAAAGGGGAATAAAAATCACTACCCTACACCAGCTTTCAGTTCTCTCTACACCTACAGACTGAAATAGTCCCGTGACCATAAAAATGCCCTTATCTGTAACTTTCACAGCACTTTGCTCAGAGATCACATAATGGGAACTTTTCTAAAGAAATCACTTTAGCCAGTTTAAATGTACCTGGATGCTTTGAAAGCCTGAAAGAATGTGGACCTAAATTCTCACACTTAAAGTCTTTACACTTATATGATGAATATGGGTCTGGGACTCTCCCCCTTCCCCCCAAAACAGGGAAATTCTTTTCCCCTACAATTTGAAAGTCAAATAGAAGTAGAAGCAATTAACTAACTTAATACAGTGCCTCTTTATTTTTTTTATTGATTTCAGAGAAGAAGGGAGAGGGAAACATCGATGAGAGAGAATCGTTGATCGGCTGCCTCCTGCACACCCCCTACTGGGAATCGAGCCCACAACCTGGGCATGTGCCCTCACCAGGAATCCAACAGCGACCTCTTGGTTCATAGTGGATGCTCAACCACTGAGCCACACCTAGGCTATAGTGCCTCTTCAGATTTGTGCAAATGGTGATTTAAGTTGTAAAATACTTGCTAATTTCAACCTTAACAATCACAAGAAAAATGTGAACTTGAGTTATTAATGTCTACTTTTAAACACATAATATTTTAAAGAAGCGAAGCAGTGCCCTGACCGGTTTGGCTCAGTGGATAGAGAGTCGGCCTGCAGACTGAAGGGTCCCAGGTTCAATTCCGGTCAAGAGCATGTACCTTGGTTGCAGGCACATCCTCAGTAGGGAGTGTGCAGGAGGCAGCTGATCAATGTTTCTCTCTCATCGATGTTTCTCTCTATTCCTCTCCCTTCCTCTCTGTAAAAAAATCAATAAAATATATATTTAAAAAAAGAAGCCAAGCAGCAATTCAACAATCAAGATAGAGAAGATAGCAGGTATGAATTCTACCAAAACCAGAATGGTGTATATTCTGGGAGGAAACTGGGGAGGGGACAGTATTCTGCAAGATAAAACTCCATATGGTTCAGCCTCAGAGTATGCTGTTAATTTTAGCAAACGATGCAACGTAAGATGCTTAGTTATAAAAAGACTAAGGAAGTTATCATATAAGCATTTACTTAAAAGGCAATCCCACCACATGGATCCTCAATATAAGACGGTCACGTGCATTTTAGTTTCTAGGAATTTCTCCCTGAATATACAATGAAATTCCTAGAAATAGTAAAATGCACATGACTGTCTTCCAAAGGACAGAGCAAGGAAAATCTCTGCTTTCTACTTTCAAATTACAGTAAGAATCTGGAAAACAAAACTGACATTCTCAAGTGTCATCATTTCTCCAAGAAACTTTTAAGAAATTTATCTGTTGGTTTGTCAGTAACCCTCAAAGATTCCATATTTTTAAGGCACACTACACTTTGAGGTGTTTCTCTAAAATCATAGCAGACTTTCCATAAATATTCTGAAATTTAAGTAGACTGTGGTATGTACATAACAAATATAGGTGGACACTCCTTAAAGGCAGAATCCATTCTTCTCATTTTCATTCTGTACACAATGGGCATGAATGAAAGGTTTGCAAATGAACAAATAAAGAACATCAGAAAAGGGCAGAAGTTCAGACTGAATGTGGACTTCTCTCTCTCTCTCTCTCTCTCTCTCTCTCTCTCTATATATATATATATATATATATATAAAAAATA